CTGCCCCTGGGTCCCTGGCAGTGCCCAAGGCCGGGCTGGACAGGGCTGGGAGCACCTGGGACCGCGTGAGGTGTCCCTGCCGTGCAGGGTGGGGCTGGATGAGCCAGTCTCACCTGGGGTTAAAGGTGGCTGAGGACACGTCGAGGTCACCGCTGGCTCTGCAGAGGGCAGGGAAGGGTGGCGGTGCTGCCCTTGTGTCCCCAGCTCTGGCATCCCAGTGTCGGCTCCGCTGGAAGCCACGAGGAGCCCTGAAACAAAAAGCAGCCCCGGGGCCATCCCGTCCATTAGGGACGGCAGCCAGAGCTCCCTGATCGCAGCCAGATGTCAGAGATAACATCTCCGCTCGTTCTTGTGGTTTCCTGGATGGCAAAGAACTACTGTGCTCTCACCCTGCTTGGCCACGGCATCTGAGCGTCCTGGTGGAGAAAAATACAGAAAATACAAATTAAAAATTCAGAAAACTACCGAATCCTGCAGGGCTGGTTTGGGGCTGGGCTGGCCCAGGGCTCCCAGCCCAGAGAAGCTCCCGGGGGATGCTGGGGGGGAGGAAGGAGGGTGCTCTGTACCCTTGGAGGAGGTGTTCTATTCCCTTGGAACGGACAGGGTGACAGCTCCAGCCTCTCTCCCCCACTCTGTCCCGTTTCAGTCACTGTCACCCCGCTGTGTCCTCAGACCAGGCCTCTCCTCAGCATGGGGGGCAAACTTTGAATCATCTCCACCTGGCAGAAAGATGCTGAAAGTGTTTCCTTTTTTAGAGGTATTGAGGCATAGAAAAGCCTTCAGGCTTTGAATAAAAACTCAGCTTCTCACCCCTGAAACAGGTATTGAGGCATAGAAAAGCATTCAGGCTCTGAATAAAACCTCAGCTTCTTACCCTCTAAATCACTTTAAAACGAGACCTCAGGCATTTGAGTCTCAGCTCCTGATTGCTCCATACAAACCTGGGCTCCCAAGTCACAGGGAATTTTGGGGAGATACAGCAATCCCTGCACAGGGGTAATTAAATCTGTGAGGGTCTTTCAGGACATTCACATGGTTTAAGGCAATTTTGCTGTGTATTTCCCCCCTTGGCCCCTGAGCACAGGCCCTGGGCCTGTCCCACCCCTGCCGGGCCTCACAGGGATCACCCTGGCCTGGAACATTCCAGGGATGGGGCAGCCCCGGCTCCTCTGGGACCCCTGGAGGAGCCCAGGCATGGTGAGGGACCCCCATTCCCTCCCCTTTGGGGTCACTCGGGGCTGTCCCCGGAGCTGTCCCTGTCCCTGCTCACTCCCGGGGATCTCCCACAGCCGGTGCCCGGTGCCACCCCGGGACGCCTTGATCCATCC